CTTCCTCGGTGCCTAGGGTCAGGAAAGGAAGAGGCCATTTCTCAGGCCTCCTGGAGGAAGCGGGTGCCCATCTCAGCCCAGGCACACCGGTGTCTAGTGCATGTTCGTGAACTGAGACAAGATGGAAAGTTGAAGGTGCTTCCCACATCCTGGGACCTGGCAGTATCTCCGTTGTAGAGGTCTGTGTGCCCACGTTGAGCCACCATTCTGGCCCTACCAGATTGGGTAGAGATGTACAACAGGAAATGTCACCCAACATCTGGCATCATATTCTAAAATCTCACGGGGTAGGGGTCATAGGTTATGCCGAGTTGGCAAGAGTGTCAAACCTCCCAGGAAGACTTTATTTGTGGTGTCTGCAGCATAGCAGGGCCCTCTGAAACTGAGCTGGCAGGAGGAGCACACCATCGTCCTACCTGCTCAGCCCCTGACTCCCACCCGGGGAGGGTGACGGCCGGTGTCTGTTCAGATGTGTGGTTTATGGAGCTCCTTTCTGTGGCCATCCTACGCACAATTCTACGTGTGGATTTGTATTTTACAAAGGCAGAAACCGGAGCTTAGATGTCCAAAAGTCACATGGCCAGCAGATGGCAGAGCAAGTCTTTACCCTGCCTGGCAGGGCCCGAGCCCTTCTCACCCCAAGAGACACGGAGAAGTGAGCAAGTTTGGTTCTTTTTCTTTTGAACTTAACTCATTTTCTAAGGGTCTAAAGCTCTGAAAGAAACTGTGGGGCTTTTGAGCCTTTATTCACTTTTTGTGTTAAGTTCTTTAAACCCAACTTTTTCTTTTCTTCTTTTTTTTTTTTCTTTTCTTCTTTTTTTAAAGAAGAACAAAAGCATCCCCTAGGGAAGCCAGCCAAGTATCAGTATGAGAAGCTGCTAGATGACAAGTCTTCCAGAAATCTCTGTCAGCCACTGGAGCACACGGTGGGGCTAGGGCTCAAGTCGCTGCCTAGGCAGCTGCGGTCAGAGCCCAGGGTTATAAATTCCCTGTCTTTTTCTGTAGGTATTAGGCAAAATCTTGATGGTCGTTTAAAGCATGTGTTCCTCAGACCAGCTTTTGTGTCTAGAGAACCCAAGAGAGGGCTCTTGCCCCAGAGTTCCTCCAGGAATTGTCTTTCTTTAAAAAATGTTATTATGTGGGTATTCCTCCCCCCAGGTATAAAATTGTTTGTGTTGAAATTTGGGGGAAGAAATGAAAGTTCAAGGAGAAAAACAAAGTCATTCCTTTAGAATATTTTAAAATTCTGCCATACATCATTAAATGCAGATAACTTTTCCTCCAAGCGAGGGAGGGAAAAGGCCTGCTTAAAAGGCCCCCAGTTGGGTCACTCTGACATTATTATACCTAGTTCCGGTGCTTTTATAGCTTCAGATGTGGTTCTTTGTGGCATCAGGGTCAAGTGTGGCCGCTTCCCCTTGGCCTTAGGGGGGCCGACCAGAACCTGGGCAGGGCTGGCCTGAGCCTGGCTGAGAGTTGCTGTTAGCACATCCTGCCTCAGCTGCAGGCGGGTGAGCAGCGAGCGAGCCTCCTGGTGCATTTGTTAGGTGTCAGTTCTTCAAGGGCTTCATGAGGTTATTCTCCCTGTGGGCTCAGGAGGACCCTTCACAGCTGCATTCCAGGAATGTGCAGTTAGGGAGAGGCCAGGAGCAGTGTTGGCCAGAGTCCCTTGTTCCTAGAGATGGTACTCCCTGCCAGCTTAGGGTAGGACTCTGAAGAGGTCTAGTTCCTCTGATGAAGAGAGAGAGAGGCCCTCTGGACTTAGGGTCACTGGGAGTAGAGAGCTTGTCTCTGGTCTCTAAGCCTATGGCTGTGGACGCTGACATGGCTTGTGCAGGGCTGGACTTGAGGAGGTGAGGTGCAGGAAGCCTTTCAAGGGGTGTTTGTCTTCTCACAGCAGAGTCAGTTTGGCTGGGGTGATTGGGGACAGCAGGGCCTGGAAGACAGCCCGCGGTTGAAGTCTGGCTTTCTCCCTGTTGGGGGAGCCATGCTGGCCAGAGCAGCCCCTGTGCAAGACCTAGAGGTGGCAGCTTTCTGGCCTGGGCCCGTCTGTGTCTGAGGGAGAGGCCTTCAGATCTGGTCTGGACCATCCCCAGGAAAATGAGTGTCTTGGCCATTGGAGTTCTCCCCCAGCCCTCCAGACCATGCCCTGTGTCTGATTCCACTGTCAGCTCCCAGGTTTGGCACCTGGGCCTCTCCTACCAGCTCAGCTTCCTAAAGACATGGGCCTGGACCCTGGTCTGCCTGCCTCTAGTCTTGGCCCTCTTGAGTGTCCTGAAATCGTTTTCTCAAACTCAGACCATACTCCTTTCTAGTCACTGCTTGTCCCCTACAGGGTAAAGTCTGGATTCCAGGGGACTGTGAAGACCTGAACATACTCCAGCCTTGCGAATCTGACTCATGAGGGCCCCACAGGCCTCGGCGCTTCCTTGCTGCTCCTCACCTCCCTGTCTGGAAGCCCCTCTCCACCTCCCTGGCCCACAGTGCTTGCCCCAGCATCCCTGCTCTGAATGCTTTCCTGGCATGTCTGCCAGAATTGCTTCCCAGGTCCATTTGTGTCTGCTGCGAGATGGCTTTGTGTGCCTCTCGGCTGCCAGCAGTCTCACTTCTCACTTGTCCTTCCAGGTCCAGAATTTGACAGACTATCGAGTACATAATAGGTGCATACTCTGTGTCTGGGGTGCTGGGCACCTAAGTGACAGCCAGGGCCAGGCGATGATCCCCTCCTGTTAGCCACCAGCTGTGGCCCATTCCACTGCCCTCCCTGTTGGCTGAGTGAGCAGGTGTGAGTAGTGCAGGAGTGTTCCAGGGGCTGAGTCTCCCCTGGGGTTAAGCCCCTCCTCTGGCTGAGACCTGGCCATTGAGGACCCTGGAAATTATGCAGAGAGAAAAGTATCCTAAAAGGACCCCATGGTTGACAGAGAAAGATACTCCTGAATGTTGCATGCCATTTAAGTTTAACTTTAGGAGATTAAGCTTTCCAGAGTGGTCACAGAAGGGAGAGTCATTTTGATATTTGAGGTGTTACATGCATCAGCTGAGCCACTGCCTGCTGCTTGGCTGAGGTCCCTGGAGGCAGAGGGCTCCTCTTACCTAAAGCGCTGCCCTTTGTCATCTTAAGTGAGGTCATTGGCTCCAGGCAGGAGCAAGAGGGTCTCCAGTCTGTGGTGCTCTGTCCCAGCCATCTCATACCAGGTCTTTGAAATCCCATGTGTACTGTCCATTCACAGCACATCTCAAGTCATACTAGCCATGTTGCAGATCCCCAGGAGTCACATGTGGCTGGTGACAGTGCAAGGGCAGACCTTTCTGAGTTGGAAGAGGAAAATGTCTGTGTAGTCACCAGCTAGACACAGGCTAAGGAGCTGCCCTGCGTGGTCTGTGACTCCACTCCAGTGGTGCCTTTCAAACCATTGCTCCCTGTCCTGGAAAGCAATGGCTATACGTGTGCATTTCCAGCCTGAGGGGCAGCAGGGCTGTCTCCAGAGAGGGAGCCTCCCAAGGGTCTGGTTGTACTCCGATTTTTGTAGCATGCATGGGCTTACCATTAAAATTATTTTATATACACATATGTCGTTTAAAAAAAGGCTAAAGAGACATGTGCCCTCAGGACCCAGTTCCATGTCCCCACTCCCCCAAGCTCTGCCTTCTGTGTCAGTGTGGATATTTTTAATCTCCTGAGCTTTGCTGAGGTAAGAAGTTATAAAATAAAGGTGCTCATAGCAACTAGCTCCCCCACGTCCCACGTTCCCCTTAGTAAGGTATCATGCTAACTGCTTTGACTTGTAATGAAAATATTGTGACTAGTAGATGAAAATATTGTGACAAGCCAGAGAATTCCAGGTTGCTATGGAAACTGTCCCCATGCGTGTCTTCCAAGGTGGGCTTGGCAGAGGGTGCCGCTGCAGGCTGGGCTGCTCTCTTTGTCTCAGCTCATTCTTGACCCTGCCATTCAGCTGTGGGGTACATCCCAGCCCCTACAGAAAGAAGTGCCCAGGCATTCAGGTGACATGTCTGGAGTCACTCTCCAGAGTGTAATGAGAGCAAAACTGTAGGCATGGTGGGAGGGGTAGGCAGTTGCACTTTTTCAGAAGTGAAGGTTGGTTGTTGGCACATGGCTCTGTGAATTCAGGCAGTCTGTCACTCACTGGCTGGCAGGTGGACAGGCCCATTCTGGAAGAACCTGGCCTGTCACTGTTTGAGCTTCACCCGGGCAGAGTTAGAGATGGAGAGTTTGAGCCAGGGGTGGGGAAGCAGCTCCCCCGTGCTTTACATGCACTCCCATGGCCACAAGTGCGTGGCTGTGGGCATCCCTGCATGTGGTGGGCTGTGGGTTCGCTGGCCAGTCAGGGCCACAGGGCGTGGTCATGGGCAAGTGGGAGAACCTTGCTGGATAGGGTGAGAACAGGACCAAGGCATTTACTGGAAAAAGAAAGAAGGAAAAGCCTTTGGGAAGAGCACATCTACTTAATTCTGCTCAGGGATATCTTTTTTTTTTTTTGAGATAGACCCTCAAGCTGTCCCCGTGGGTAGAGTGCTATGACATCACAGCTCATAGCAACCTCCAACTTCTGGGCTCAAGTGATTCTCCTGCCTCTGCCTCCCAAGTAGCTGGGACTACAGGTGCCGCCACAACACCCAGCTATTTTTTGTTGCAGCCATCTTTGTTGTTTGGCAGGCCCAGCCTGGATTCGAACCCACCAGCTCAGGTGTATGTGGCTGTTGCCTTAGCCGCTTGAGCCACAGGCACTGAGCTGGGATATCTTGATAAAAAAGGAGCGATACTAACTCTGAGCCCGAGCAAGTTAGAAGGACAGTGCTTGGGCCCATCATTCAGTCACTTTCACAGGGCCCTAAAAGAGCAAGAGAGTGCCCTCCCTGCGTCCAGCTTGTGTCCCGGCTACCCCACAGAGTTCTCCTTGCCATGATGAACTTGGTTGCCTTGTCTGTCGTGTTTTTGCATGACTGTGAGTGTCTGCTCCTTTCCTCTTGCTGCATAGGGCCCACGGATTCTGACAGCCCTCTCTACCTCCCCTACAAGACTCTGGTCTCCACGGTCGGGAGCATGGTGTTCAGTGAGGGAGAGGCCCAGCGGCTCATCGAGCTCCTGTCCGAGAAGGCCGGCATCATTCAGGACACATGGCATAAGGTGGGCCCACCCTCCTGCTGGCCACAGTCTGAGGCCACTGCACTGGCTAGGGCAGTTTTACTTCCCCTCCTTCTCTCCCTCTCAGGGCCAGTGAGCTGTGGTTGTTGCCTGGGTCCTGCCCTCACTCCCAGGATAGGCCCATCAAGCTGGTTACACCTAGCTTACCAAGGTGCAGAGAACATTCTTAAAACACCCTTTGCTGCTCTTTCCAGGAAGAATCCTTTCCATGAAGATCTGGCTGCATAGGTCACCTGCCAATACTGTGGCTTCTGTTAGTCCAACCACGGCCCAGCCACTGAGACAGAAAGGCTGTAGGGCTAGGGGTAGGCATCTGCATTGCAAGGGTCCTGGGGGTGGAACACAGCAGCGGAGGCTCAGCTGGATTGTGGCCAGAGTCGAGTGTGGAAAGGAAGATGTGTGAGGAGACCTTTGCTGAGCCCAGAGCACCGTGACCCCCCTTGCTCTGATGGGCAGGTTCAGGGGCTCACTTCTACCCTTCTGTGCCTCTGGCCAGCAGACTGCCCCCAAGAAGCAATATGTGGCACGTATTTGCTCTTTAACCAGAATTGGAATACTGAGTAATTTTGTTGGAAAAGCCTGGCTGGGGACTCCCCTCCCTGCCATTGCTTGGGGGTGATATGCATCTCGGCCATGATGAGAGCACCTGTTCAGTGAATACTGGTGGGTCTCTTGGCTGTGGGTGGCCAGAGAAGGTCAGGAAGACCATGAGAGAGGTCTGGCTCAGCTTAGGCCATTGTGCCCAAAGTGCACTGCCCCTGGCCTGGCTCCCATATTGCACCAGTGGTCTGCAGGTTGCAGGCCCTGAGTCAGGGGTGGGCTCTAGAAGTGACAGCCAAGTGCCCCTCATAGGGGCCAGACGTGCTCTGCTCTAAACACAGCGCCTGGGTCCACAGCCTTTGGTCTCAGCAGTGCCTGTACACACACGGTCTGGAGGCCCCACAGGCTGAGGGGCTGAGGCAGGACCACCTGAGCCCTTCTTCATCAGGCACTGGGGCTCAGCTCCTGTCTGACTGCTGCAGTGTGGGAGGACAAGCCCAGGGTCTGTCCCTCTCTCCCTTCGGTTAATGAATCTCTGGGCATTTCTAGGCCACTCAGAAGGGTGACCCTGTGGCGATTCTGAAACGCCAGCTGGAAGAAAAGGAAAAGCTTCTGGCCACGGAGCAGGAAGATGCTGCTGCAGCCAAGAGTAGGCTCAGGGAGCTCAACAAGGTATGGCCAAGTGGCATGTGTGCTCAGAGCGGCTCCTCTACTCCCTGTCCTGCGGGGACCCCCCAACCCCATGGTCCACAGCCATTGCTGTCCTTGGATCATTGTGTCCTGGGGCCAGCCCTGGGATGGCTTGGGGCCTTCCCAGCATGGAGCTGATTAGCAAACCAACAAGTGGTGTGACCGAAGGTCTCCTGCTGGTGACTAGCCCCCCATAGCCTGGGTGGCTCTGCAGGGATGGTGGCTTCCTCCTTCATGGCTCTAAGAATTCAGGGAAGTTGAGCAGGGTATTGGGGGCCTCAGTGCGTGGTGGGAATGGACCAGAACTGGCTTTTTCCATGCGATGCACCACCTTTCTAGGGGAAACACTTAGAAGGGAGGATGGGCACATTTGATCCCAGCTCATTTCCTTGGGAATTGTGGCAGAACCTTGTGGGGATGGGACTGAAGAGGTACTTTTTTCTTTTTTTGATGTCAGAGGAGGGGAATCCCTGGCCCTTAGCTTCAGCTGACTGCCCGGCAGGTAGATTTGTCTGAGTTATAGTTGGTGGTGGTTGGTGCTGCTGTGGAATGGGGCTGGGGGCATCATGCAGGATGTGTTGAGACCCACACATGACAGGGGCTAATCCTCCACACCTGCTGAGTTTACAGGCTCCCTCCCTGCTTCTTAGGGTGAGTCCTGGGACCCCAGTCTTCCCAAAGAACAGGAGGGTGAGGGGATCCTGGCCCTGTGTGGCTGGTTGTGCCCAGCAGACCAGAGCTGTCTTTGTCCTGCATGTACTGCGAGCCTGCTCTTACTCTCTGTTGTGGGCAGCAGAAGCAGGGAGATGGCCTAGGCTGAGGAGTGTCTGATGGTATCTTGGCTGCAGCCCTTTGATACCTCTGTCTGCTTATTCAAAAAGAATTAGAAATGAGGCTGGCTGACTTTCTGTCCTAAACTTAGGGTTGTGGCTCTGAGCCAGACAGAAGTTCACCAGGTGGGGCATGGATGGTGACTCTGTAAACATAAGCCCAGGAACAAGAGAGATGACAAGCCCCAGTGGCCTTCTCTAGAGCTCAGTGGTCTTTTATGGACCTTTGTGTTATGTCCACACACATCCTTCACTTGAGCCTGGGTATTGGTTAAATTCAGGGAGCCTGGAGCTGCTTGCCCTGGCTCCTAAGAGGCATGTGACCCTCACTTTCAGGATTACCCTGCTGGGAGTTAGGCGTAGGCCATAGCAAGAATATTTACACCACAAAAATTGGCAAATGCTACAAATTCAAGCCCTCCCACCCCCAGGAGCCCATTGAGCAGTATACCACTGGTTAAGAGCCTATTCTCTGGGGGCTGTTTTTCTCAAACTGAGAAATCCTGTGAACATTTGTTGACTCCCAGAGTCAAGCTCAAGTGAGAGGAAACAGGACAGAGTGTTCACATGTCTGGTTGCTTGAGTGGGGCCCAGGCTGGTTACTTGTGCCTGCCCCCTTTGGTCTAGGAGTGCCATCTGAATAGGTGCACCCTGTGATGGTGACTGTGGCCCCTTTGCTGGATCTTTGGTCACTGAGGGCAGGGGGCAAGGGAGATACAGCCCCTTCAGAAGGAGACCCCCGGTACTGGTCACTTGATTGTCAAGTCCTCCCTCAGCTGTGACCATGTGACACAATTTCCAAAACCCAGACACCCCCACCAGGTCTAAATGCACCTCCAGCTCCCCCTGGTTGGAGCAGTAGAATGCTGCTGGCTATAAGCTGAGGGCAGCCTTTGGCTCTCAGGAAAGGAGTTTAATGGTATGTCCAACCACAGCCCTCCCTCCCCAATGACATGCTCCTGCCTGCAGCCCATGGAGGTCCTCTTGAGTTCTCAAGTGCTGATGTGGTCCTGTGGAGACCCCCTTTAAAAGCTCTGCCCATGCCTCTTGATCTGACCCCTTGCTTGGGGCTGATGCAGTTCACACCACATGGGGCACCACTGAGCCTGGGCACAGCACCTGGAAGGAAGTGCAAACAGGGTCTGAGCTGGGTGCCAGTGATGGTGCCAAGCCTCACGCCCAGCCCAGGCAGAGAGGACTGGACTCCAGAAGCCCCCACCCCTCCTACTGCCACCATGAATAAGAAAATAAATCTGAGGCTGAAACCAATTTACTGGAGTTGCACTGAAGATCGAGGGTCCTAGAACATTGCAAATATGTCTATTATGTCATATAATGGAGAGGCTGTCATAGCCATGAAGGGAGGGAACTGTGTGGCCATCGCTGCAGACAGGCGCTTCAGTATCCAAGCCCAGATGGTGACCACGGACGTCCAGAAGATCTTTTCCATGGGTGACCATTTGTACATCGGTCTGGCAGGCCTCACCACTGATGTCCAGATAGTTGCCCAGTGCCTCAAGTTCTAGCTGAACCTGTATGAGTTAAAGGAAGGTTGGCAGATCAAACCTTACACCCTCATGAATATGGTGGCCAACCTTTTGTATGAGAAAGGGTTTGGTCCCTACTACACTGAGCCAGTCATTGCTGGGTTGGACCTTAAAGCCCTTCATTTGCTCTCTAGACCTCATTGGCTGCCCCATGGTGACTGATGACTTTGTGGTCAGTGGCACCTGTGCTGAACAAATGTACAGGATGTGTGAGTCCCTCTGGGAGCCTAACATGGATCCAGAACACCTGTTTGAAACAGTCTCCCAAGCCACGCTGAATGCCATAGACTGGGTGCAGTGTCAGGCATGGGAGTCAGTGTCCACATCATTGAGAAGCACAAACTCACCATGAGGACACTGAAGGCTCAAATGGACTAACCCTATTCCCAGAGCCCACCCTTTTTTTTTTTTTTT